ATCATCACTTCATCATCAACTTCATCATCATCATCATCATCATCACCATCATCATCATCATCATCATCATCTTCATCTTCATCACCATCATCTCCATCACCATCATCATCATCATCACCATCATCATCATCATCATCAACTTCATCATCATCATCGTCATCATCATCATCATCACCACCACCATGATCGTCGTCTCACCTGTGACTTCACTCCCCGACGAGTATCATCAGCTCTGTTCATTCTTCCTCCCGCTGTTCCTCCCAGTGTTCCTCCCGACTCAGCTTCAGACTCAGCTTGAAGTGAGTGGAGTGAGGGCCATTAGTGGGTATGAGGGAGATGAATGCCGGGAAAGTACTCCGGGCAGATCGCAACCAATTCTTTATGGAGCTGAATTTATTCCATCAAAAATTGAAAATTACATTTACCACCATGGAAATATTGGAAAACAAACTGAATTGAACTTCCAGTACCCACCAGTTCCGTGACCCCCCAACTCCTCAATCTACACCCCTTCTACCCCCCAGAAAGTACCCCACCCTCCAATAGCACTAGAGACTTCTTCAGGCGACACCCCTTATCGAAATGGACCCCAACCACCCCCGCTCTATCCTACCCCTACCCCCCGTACACAAGTACCCCTGTGTATCTGGAATGAACCCAATAACCTCTCTCAGTCACATTGGAAACACCCCCCAGTCCTATACCACCCCACCCATAGGTTTCCTACCCATGGAATGCACATAACCCCCTCAACTACCATTCACCACCCTACATATTCACTATTGAACCTTTTCACTCAGCGTACTACCCCCCCTGTTTCTCTGTCGACTCTTTCCTACTACCCCACCCACCAAGGTCTCCTTCGATCGGATTTACTGGCTTACCTCGCACGTCCCCAATAGTACCCCTCATTATGTAGGATCTTGAGCCTCTAAACGGTGGGTAGGGTGTAGGAGGGGTCGTCACCTCCACATCCTGCAGTTTGGGGGTAGTCGACGATAATCAACGACAGAGAGAAGATGGGGAGGTGGGGTGGTCATCGGATGGGGGTGGGATGGGGGAAGGGGCGGATGATTTCGCTTGACGGGGTGGGTGGATGGGAGGGGGTATGAGGGGTTGACATGACGGAGGAAATGTGAGGAGGACCAGGAGATAGGGGTAGTAGTCATCAGGGGTAGTGTGCGTTGTGTGACGATGGTGGGTGGGTGAATTTAGGGGAATAGGGTAGTTGGAAGGGTTCCTAGGGGGTGGATTGTTCGCATGTACGTGGTTGAGGGGTGGGGTGGGTATTGGGGGTGGGGTAAAAGAACCGACCTGCGCGGTCCATGAAGTAATGGAGGAGAGGTTGCGATGAATGAGGGGGAGGGGGAGGAGGGGGAGAAGGAAGAGGAGGAGGAAGGGGAAGGACTTTATGAGGAAGATGGAAAGAGTTGAGGAGGAGGAGTTTTCATTGTTCTTGTACACAATAGAAGGTCGCAGAGAGCGAGAGCAGAAACCTTCCGAAGTGGGCCAAGAAAGTTCAGAATGGGAAATTGGACGCGACACAAATACAAGAAGATGAGATGAAATCGATGATGCGATAGGGAAGTGGAGTTGTGTGAAGTGTGACGAGTATGAGGAATGATGAAGATAGATGCGAGAAGAATTTGTTTTTTTGAGTTGAAGGGAGAAGGGAACACCAAGCAAGCTAGGCGAGATCCATCATGAACAGTTAGGAAAGCAAAGGCAATGCCATAGTGACAAGAGTGCTGAGCTAGACAACCCCATTGGATCATCATTTCCTGAGTGGATGAATGGTGCGCCCTTTATGTTTTCTGACTTGATCATGTAGATGTGCGGACCAGCAACATTGTAGTCCTGAAATCAGCCGCTTCGAGACAAGTTTGATTTGGATTGCATGAAGAGACCTTCCTTCATAGTTTAACGTTGTCACTTTACTTGCAATGCCAACAAGGTCGCCCACTATTGACCCAAGAGATGACCCTATGGTCCAGCGGCTCAACGCCATCATGGAAGTTGTAGCCATACAGAACAACTTTGCACATGCAGAATCGCTTCATCCAAGATCAGATGGACATTGCTTGGTTCAATATCCTGCGAACTATTGCAGAGACAGAGATGTAGAGAGATTCCACAAGGCCAGTGCGGAATTTGTGTTTCCGCTTCAAATTGGTATTCCGGGTCGAGTTTGGAAGAGCAAAAGGTTTGCCTGGCACGGTGACGTAGCTACTTTGCCGTCAACCATTTATCTTCGAACAGAACTAGCTAAACAATCGAATCTTCACGGCTGTGTTGCGGTTCCTGTTCAAGTGGAAGCGGGATCTTTCTTTGTTGTTCTGTTCTATTGCTCCTATGAGCTTGGCTCTAGTCACATCGTGGAGAAGTTGCTGCAGAGCATTCAGAGTTCATTGGGCGGTGAGGGTATCTTGCCAAGAATGCTCATCCCTGAGGCCACTCCAAGTGAGGTAGACGTGGTGATAGGAAGCCGAAGTGTGCTTTCAAAGAGCAGAAGTTGGTTAAAGTGCGAACTTGCATTGCAGAAACCAGCGGAGATTCGGGGTAACGATGATGTAGAGGATATTATGAAGTTTACTCGGCGACTCGAGTTCTTCAAGCACATGGCTGAGGCACAGCGGTATCAACTCTGTCATAGGATGACGCTGCAGCGAATCAACGGGGGCGAGCTTCTGCATCGCTCGACAGATCTCCCGGATCAATCGCTTTGGAGGATTGTTGTGCTCGGGAGAGTAGCAGTCTACGTGACTGAACCCTATGGCAATCCAAGTTATCCCGTGTGGCACTTCGACAGCGGACAAACGTTTGCGCAGTCATACCTCAACTTATTCTTGAACAACTATGGCATCACTGCTCACATTCAATCGGTCACGCAATGCCAGTGCCTCCAAGTTCGGATCCCTCCAGAAATGCAGGAGGAATTCAAGGCGTGGACAAGACCGCTCTGGTACGAGGAGCTCACTCGATACTTTGGAGTTTCGATCAACGAAGCAGGGGAGGCGCTAGGCATGTGCACGAGCGCGATCAAGAAGATCTGCCGGCGACATGGAATAGCGCGATGGCCTCATCGTAAGATTGCGAGTGTGGACAAGACTATCAGCTCACTGCAGCAGCGGATCAAAGAGATGGAGCTCTCTCAGAGTCACGATGGCGATGCCATCGCGAACCTCCGCTCGGAACTGATGGATGCGGTTCGCCAACGCATGCAGTGCGGATCGAATCGTCCTACTTTGCCTGTCACAACAGGAGACGAAGAGGAGGAGGAGGTGACGGTCTTGAGATATGTTTGATGCGTATGATGATTTTGGAGCAGGATGATGATGATTCGGAGAAGAGCTCGAAAGGGAGGAGGAGGGCCAAGAAAGAGAATATCAGAGACTCACCGACTGCAGACTCCCCATCTGACAGCAACTCGAGGGAGTCTCCTATCGACGAGACTTCGAGAAAGCGAGGGTTGATGGAGTACCAAGGGACGCACCCTGTAGAGTTTGGCATCATGCAGCATCAGCTCAACCCGATCCAATCTGTTCACATCTTCGATGAAGACCAGGAGCTACACGGGGACGAGTCTCCCTCCGACCAGGACCTCTACTCCACCCCGATCAACATTCGTGCCTCCTCCTTTGACAGCTCTCAGGTGAGTTGGGATTTCGACTCTTATACTTTAAATGTCTTACACGCCTGACATTTGTGCAGGGTATCGATTCTATCTTCCTCGACTCCCTGGATCAGCCCTCGTCGAACATGCACAACCAACTGCAGGGAGGAGGTGAAGGCTGTCCTTGCGAGTTTCTCGTCTCACGCGACCCTACAGGGAGCATGAGGTCTTCGACTTCGCTGGGTCAGGCGTCAGCGGAGACCATGGCGAGCGTGTTCGGCGCTGGTGAGCCAGGCGAGGCTGCTGTTGTCTGTACTGACCTGGAGCTGGTAGCGGGTATCCCTGTTGCTAGTGGTGGCGGTAGCGGTGGAGGAGGAATGGGGTCGATTGGTATGCAGCGACAGAGTGAGGGAGCAGCGCGCTATGGTTCGCAGCTCATCGTTGACTTCAGATGACATGGGGGGCTACGGCTATGGAGTGAATCGACCTGCAGGCAAGACGAGAACTTGGCCATTGCCGAACTGACTTGCATCTCTAGTATACCAGCAGCAGGAAGCACAGTACTCGGCTGTGAGCGGCTCTATGCAGAATCCTTCTGGTTTCGTTGGGCAGAACATGTGAGACCTTGGCCGGCCTTTACCTGCCTGACCCTCCCATCCTCCATACTGCTTCTTACGCTCTGACCTTCCCATCCTCCATACTGCTTCTTACGCTCTGACCTCGCTCTGCTTCTCTCCATGTCTCCCTTCCTCTCCTTCCCCCCTGATCTCTGCGTTGGCTCCTCCCCTCATGCATGATGGGCCAGGAGGTACCCCAACTCGTACCAGGGAGGTTCGGAACAGCCCTTGAAGACCATGAGGAGCGGTGCGCAAGGAGGGATGTGGATGAACACTGTCGACTCTCTTCATCCGATCCCGGAGAATCGTCAGGCCTATCACAATCAGGTGAAGAGAGGGAGCGAGGGAGCGAAGGCCCTGTGACTCGTGTTCCTTTAGATGCCGCAGCACCCTGGACTTGTACAGCACGATACCCAAGGAAGGGGAGGAGGAATGGTGAACCACCAGGTGATAGAGGACCTCCAGGTAGTGCGTGAACTGACAGCAGCAGCTTTACCAGCAGCAGCAGCAGCCTCAGCAGCCTCAGCAGCAGCAGCAGCCTCAGCAGCCTCAGCAGCAGCCAGCTGTTCAACAATCACTTGCTCGGCACGACATGTCACGGCCTGTGCTGGTGAAGGAGTGAGAGTGCGGGAGGATGATGATGACGAGGAAGCAGATTGTGCGGGGAGCAACAGTGCCGGAGGAGGTGCAGGAGGCGATGAGGAAGTGGAACGTCCAACGAGTGGTGAGGAAAGGAGGAATGAAAGGGGAAGAGGTTGAAGTTGAGGCAGCGGAGGAGGGAGAGGGTAGAAAGGTGGGGGGTGGAGACGGAGGTGGCGGTGGAGGGGTAGCTGACCGTCAGGTTTGCAGTCTCAGGGACTTCAGCCTGTCACCTTCGAGTTCGCGTGATTGATATCCTCTAACATGTTGCACATGTACCAATAGCTTCGCTCATCCCTAAACTCGTTGTTTCCTTGTTCGCCTCCCTGGTCTCCCCCCCTCCCCCCGCGTCTCTTCCTCCCCTCCTGCCTCTTCTCTCATGTCCCCCTGGTCACAAGGAGCATACTAAAGCGAAAGTGAAACTTTACAGCAACTGTGGCGTCTGCCTGTTCCCTCCCTCCTCCCCTCACATCACGATGTCTTCGCTCTCAAGCTGCTCGTCAACCTCCTCGGCCTGCCCAGAGAGTCAAGCGATGCGAGAGAGGAGAAGGGCAAGGAGAGGGAGAGAGGGGGGGGAGGGAGAGAGCGAAGGGAGGGAGAGGAAGTCAACCGGCTTGAGCGAAACTTTTAGGCCGATGGAGTACCTGCGAAGTTCGATGAGCAGGAAGCAAGAGAATGAGGTGAAGGAAGAAGCGAAGGATGGGAAAAGGGGGAGGGGAACTCGTAGAAGGACCAGTAGAAGGACCAGTAGAAGGACCAGTAGAAGACCAGTAGCCGTCGAAGGAACGAGGAGGAGGAAGGGAGAAGAGAGGAAGAATGAGGAAGAGGAGGGGCAGGAGGAGAGGTGGGGAGGTGTCTCACAGGTCAGCAAGGTACTCGATGTCCTTGCGGATGGCGATGGAATATCTCAACTGCTTCCCGTCAGCTCCTCTCTCGCTCCTCCTGCAGGCCTACCAGGGGCAGAGTCTCCGAAGGCTCCCGCATGGCCTCCTCCCCTCGACCGTTGGACGGTGAAGCCTCCTTCCTCCTGCTGTAAACGCGACGGAAAGTGAGGCAGGGCCAAGGAGCAGGGAGGCAGGGAGGGAGGGAGGGAGGGAGGCGAGGGAGGCGAGGCGAGGCAGGGAGGGAGGGAGGGAGGGAGGGAGGGAGGCAGGAG